CCGTTCCTTCCTGCCAAAATGAGCTGAAACTTGGAATTTTTTCGAGCGGGGTAACCGGAGGATAAACTGAGGCCTGAGGGTGTAAAGAAGGTCTTCTGGAGTTGGGTATGGTTACTCTTGATGGGTATTTCTTGTTTTTCCAAGTGGTGAAGGGGAAATTATGGGATGAAAATGGAATTTTAGAGGAAATTTGACAATTTTAGCGGTGGCCGGAAGAAGGCTGAAAATGGCTGGCAGGCGGCGGTGGGACGGGGTGAGTTTTGGGAAGAATATGAAGTTTGGTGTGTTATTTGCACTTTTTAAAAAGTTTGGACAATTTGTTCTTTATTTTTCTTTTCTTTTCTTTTCTTTTGTTTTATTTAAATATAAGGGTATATTGGTCATTTTATGTTAAAAATTGCTGAAAAGGACGTTTTACGCAAGAAAGTGTAAAGGTAGGGACGTTCTGCACCAAAAAATCAAACGTAGGGACGTTTTCCACAAGACTCATAATAGGTATGGACGTTTTGCACCAATTACCCATTAAAATATGAGAAAAATTCATTTATCCTACTTTTATTTTAGACTATTTCAAAAATAATAGTGGCTAAGTCAAGGGCGTTTAGTCCCTGACTAGAGACATAGAGTGGCTAAGTCAAGGACGTTTAGTCCCTGACTAGAGACATGCGACCGCATAGCAAAAATTTGCCTATGCACCCGGTTTTCCTCCTCTTTCAAATTCCATGGTTTTAATCTCATTTTTCAACTTTCAAATCTCTATTTCTCAATCTCTCAATTAATATTCTCATACAAATATTTGGACAACATATTTTTATAACAATCCTCCACTTGTTCAAATATTACAACTCCGCTTAAAATTATAAACGATGTCACGCATAGTATAAGGTATCTTTCGATTTAAACCTTACATCAGTGCTAATATTGCAAAGTAATATCGAGATTTCAGGTAGCCTTAGTTTTGGACCAGTTATCCCTTATGACATTATCGGCGATATCACACACGTG